CGATTCTCCTAATTACCAGGATCATCCCCCAACAAACGGAAATCAAATCCGAGTTTATTTGACTAAGATATTGCCAAAACAAAAATTACCATAAACGGCAAAAACGCTTAATTGATTGCCTAAACGACGGAATTTGCCCAAAATTTGACGTGCATCAGGGCCTAAGGCCCTGAGTTGTGATCATTGGCCCGTTTCCAATCAAATTAGACTAGTAATTCGCTAAAAACGAACAAACCCGAAATTAAATGGAATTATTATTTTGCCTTCATCAATACACAAATCCAAATTTTTTTCCTTATTTTTTAACCAAACATTCTTAGTCATGACAACGAGTCAGTCGAGCCAAAACTCAAAGCCCAGGCTCGGCTCGAGCCAAAAAGGGCTAAGCCAAGAGCTTTTTTTGGCCCGAGCCAAACCGAGCAAAAGCTCAGCCAAAAATACTACGCTCGGCCCTAGCTTTCAGCTCGAGCCTTAGCGGGCCGATCCGACTATGTTTTTTTTTTCTGTCAAATCTACAACTAACAGGAAGCTAAATATAGTTTTTTTATTTTTTTTATATTTTTTTAAGTGGCAACTTATACGGGCTGGGCTGTGTGGTCGACAAGCCACACGGGTCGGTTAGGGCTCCGGCGACGCTCCAAAATGGGGCTCGGTTCCGGCTCAGACTTTTTTCAGACCGAGCCAACTAACTTTTTTGCCATCCCTACACATTCTCCATCAAATAATATTCAAAAATGTATTTTTTGCAAAAAAATAAAAATAAAAAAAATTGGCTCAAACATTGTAAAAATGGTGAATGGATGATGAATCTACAGAATGGAAAATGTTAATGTATATTGATGTATTTCAAGAAGTAATATTACAATGGGTCATATACTTAAGATTTGTATCTATTCTAGGAAAATGGAATTAGTAAAATACAACCAGTCTCCTATAATCTGTCTAATTCCTTTAATCTATCAATTGACAGAATTAACATATTTGTATCTATTAATACCCCCCTCAAGTTGGAGCGTGGATGTCTATATGGAAAGTGGCCTGTCCCAATGGTTTTGTAAAAATGTCTGCAATTTGCATTCTGGTGTGAACATGTGTGGTTCTATCCTTTTCTCTTTCTATCTTCTCTCGAACGGTATGACAATCCAATCCTATGTGCTTTGTACGCTCGTGGAATATTGGATTCGCTGCAATGTGAATTGCCGCTTGGTTATCACAAAACAGTTTAACTGGTTCAGGGTGTTCAACACGCAAGTCACTTAAAAGATATCTCAGCCAAGTAAGTTCACAAGTGACGACTGCCATTGCTCGATATTCTACTTCGGCAGATGACTGTGACACGGTGGATTGCTTTTTGCTTTTCTAAGAAATCAAGGAATTTCCCAAGAACACACAATAACCTGTAACTGACCTTCTTGTAGCCTGACTACCAGCCTAATCAGCATCACAATAAGCCGCGAGTTTTAACGAACTATTTGCGGGAAAAAGGAGGCCTTGACTTGGTGCATTCTTTAAGTAACGAAAGAGATGAAAAACTACATCAAGGTGAGGTTTTCTTGGAAGTCGCATGGACTGATTGAGAGTAACAACTGAGTATGGGATTTCCAATCATGTGATTGTTAGATAAATCAACTTCCCAACAAGTCGGGGATATCGCGTTGGATCATGGAGAGTATCACCATCCATTGGATTAAGTTTTGATACCGAGCAGAATAGTGATTATTCTGCGGGCTGGAACCCATTGACAAATACAGAGAAGAACGCAAGAGAAACACAAAGACAAAAAGAGAAAAATCTTTATTATTCAACAACTGAATGAAAATAACCGACAAG